TTGACAGGCAACATTCCCAAAACTTTTTTTTTTTTTTTTTGGTTTTTGATTTTTTTGGAGACAGGGTTTCTCTCTGTATCCTTGGCTGTCCTGGCTCTGCTCTGTAGACCAGGCTGGCCTCAAACTCACAGAGGTCCTCCTGCTCTAAGACATTCTTGTATTGGTCTTTCCATCAGGAGGTTAGCCCGGACTCCCCAAGGAGCCTCTCTGTTGGCTAGCTGGTGCTAGCTGAGTCCTGCCAACAGCTTCCTGGCTTCCCCCAGCCCTGGGAGGAAGCATCTCATTCAAGTAGGGGTCCCTGTAAGTAGGAAGTTGGAGGTGGCCTTAGGAGAAGGAAGACTCTAGGGCTGCAGGGGAAAGAGGCAACTTGTGTCGATATTCCACTTTCTGCAGAAGCCTCCTGAAGCACTTTCAATTCCTAGGCACACCACAAAGACACTTTCCTTTCAGCTACTCTCTGGACACCCAGCTCCTCTAACCACGCCCAAACAACCCTGGGCTAGGTCAGAGCACCACAAGAAAACAAACACAGCTCTGAGTCTTTTGTGATCAAATCAAAGAGCTGCTCAAATACAAAGAGAGAGAGACCCAGAGAGAGAGAGAGAGAGAGAGACACACTCTACCACACACTGTTTACTACTTTCAACAAACACACCCAATCAGAAAGAAGAAATCTGGGTTCAGCTAAACCATGGAAATGTTTGCAAACCCTTGGCTGTTGCTGCCCACTGAATGAAGTCTCTGAAATTAACCTTTTAAGCATCAACCTCTGAAATTAAAACAAAACGTCTTCCTCATCAACAACAACAAAAACCCTTGGATACTCTCACCCTGGAAAAAAAGACTGCTTGCCAAATTCAAATTTGCCTTGGCAAGTTGCTTACCAAAGTAGCAATTCAGCCTTGTTCTGTGAGGTCACAAAGAAAGCATTTCCCCTTGACTGTGGAGAGAATGCCTTTCATGTGATCTCCAAATTCTGTAGCTTATTTTAAAGGAACACCAAATAAACTTGTCTTTCCCGTGTCTTGTTTATTCCCAAACTGTGCCTGATACAGCCTCTGTAGGGTGAAAGCCTGCAGGGAGGCAGCTTGAGCGGAACAGGGTCCCAGGGCCCGGAGTGTGGGTCTGTGTTCTGGTTCCTGGGCTGGGGCTTGAACACAGGTGTGCTCTTCTCACCCTGAGCTTCACACCCCTCACATACGCTACAAAGCAAAACCACCCACAGCCTCTCAAAAGACAGCAAAAATACTGCCAACAGCACGCAGCTTACAGAGGAACACACACTGAAAACGCTCAGCAGATGTGCCGCACACACATAGAGCAAGAGCAGGCAGCGACGGGGACCCTCCGAAGTGGTACCAACCCCATCCCTGGGTAGAATCCTGCTGCAGTTCTGAAACATTTGAAGCTTGATGTGCAGCATCTGCCTTAATGGGGAAAGCTTTCCACGTACATCAGGTGGGGGAGTGTGTCCTCTGCAACTCCAGAGTAAGCTTCATCCAAAACAACTAACAGGACGCACCAACTGACAGGGGTTATAACAGATGCGGGGAGAAGGGCACTTACCAATTTGGTCTTCTGGGATCAGCGACTCGATAGGAGGGTCCAGTTCAGAGCTCTGAGACAAATAGTTCTTGACCTGAGTCATAAACTGCCGGATGGTCTGCAGCATGTCGGTGCTGGATACATGGCATTCCTTGTTCTCCTTCAGGAAACTCACGTAGTCCTGCACCAGGCACCCGAAGTAGGTGCATTTGTTCTGGGACAGCTCCGCGATCCTGCGGACCATCCGCTTCTCAGGGGTCATGAAAGAACTGAACACCCCGCTCATCTTTCGCAACTGAGACTTGACAAGCTTGGGCAGCACAAAAGAGCTGTTCCTCTTCTTTTTGGACTTAATGGGAGGTGCCATGGTCTCCTGGTCACTCTCCCCTCCGTAGTCCTCCAGGCTGCTGGTGGTGTCAGCCTCATAGCCATACAGGGGCATGCTCCGGTCGAAGTCCAGCGAGTCGGAGGAGGAAGTGGAAAGGCTCATGTCGCTCAGCCTCTGCCTGGCTCCATGGCACGGGGGCGGCTGTGATTCAGAACCGGGCGGCGGCGCCCTTGTGCAATCCCTGGGGGCGTCCCTAGGCGGGGCTCCACCTGCGTGCCCAGCTGTGCCCAGCTCAGGCTCCGGCTCCGGCTCCAGCTCCGGCTCCGGCTCCGGCTCCGGCCTCCGGCTGGGCCGGCAGGCGGTCAAGGTCTTGGCGCTGCCTTCCGCTTCCAGAAAAGAAGCCTGCTTCTTCAGCCGGGGTGGAGGGATGGGAGTTGGTTTTGTTCCAAGCAGAGCTACGTTCCCATGTTTGCTATGGTTGACTGTTTCTGGCATGCTCGTCTGGGGTTCAGTCCTGGATAGCCCAGGGCTTGTGTGCAGACTATTAATAGCGGGTGGGGGGGGCCTGGGTGGGGGAGACCGCGGCCTCTCGGTGCCATTCGCGTTGGGAGTCCTTGTGCTCAGCCTCTTTGGGCCTGTGCTGAGGTCCTGGCTGTGCACTTTCAAGAAAAGAGGATTAATAAAACACAAGGCTCCGTTGGTCTGGCTGCACTCCAGCTCCGAAGGCGTCCTGGTTTTTATAGAATGCACTCCATTTATAAGGCAGAGCTGACGCAAGGAGGCAGGGCAGATGCCGGCTGAGGGAGGCCTGTGGGGAGGTGGGGAGGTGGGGGGTTTGTTGTCTGCCGAGGAGCTCCAAAAATCTGAAAGTCATTATCAGTGAAGACAAGAATGTAAATACAGTGCACATGGGCCATTCCTACACACACTCTCTCTCTCACACACTGTAGTAACAGAGGCTTAACTTGGGGTCTGCTTTTTTCCTTTGATCCTCTCTCCCTCCCCCCTCTGACTCTGCTCCCCTACTGGAAAGGGCAGAAAGGCATCCAGGCCCAGCTATGGGCCCACAGCAAGACCCCAGGGGCCTCTCATGTTCAAAGCCTTTGAGAAAGGTTGGCTGAACCCACAGCTCCAGCCCAGCCCTCCACACAGGTGAGAAGGACAAGGGAAACTGGACTGGGTCCAGGATGAGCTAGTAAACGGCACAGAGCTACTAAGCTTGCTTTTCAAATTCCCAGTCAGCCCAGAGAGCAACACTACCCTTTCCAATCAACTTCTCCCGGGTACCCTCCAAGGAGGTGGCTGCCAGCCAAGGAATCCATCTGGCCTCCAAGTTCCCCTTTATGAGGTAGGAGCAGCAGCTGGGCCTGGGGGCTGTTACACAATCTACTTGAGGTTTTACACATTCAGCATTAAAATCCAACAAAGAGAAAAACTGCATTCAAGGGTCCCATGCCTACAGGGGGTGGGGTAGGGACGTGTGCGTGCGTGCGTGTGTGTGTGTGTATGAGTTATTTAGGTTCTAGATATCTTGGTGTGAGGCTTTAAAAATCCCAAACTTCCATTCAAATGCTGTATTCTGACTGTCAACCTATCCAAAGACCAAAGTTCTAAAATCTTAAAATCCTTCCATCTAGGAGGAAAATATTTAACTAAAGTTAAGAAAATGCTGATTCTGCCAGAGCACAGGGAAAAAGTCAAACCAGGTGAACTGGTCCACTGTCAGCCACATTCTGGCATAATTTGTGTGTGTGTGTGTGTGTGTGTGTGTGTGTGTGTGTGTGTGTGTCTGTGAACTGGCAAGGAGGCCGACTTTGGAAATAAGTCCCAACTGCCAGAGTAAGGTCCTTCGATGGAAGGAGGGACATGCCCACAGCAGCAGGGAGCTGAGTAAGAGGGGAAGAGAGACAGGTGTCACAGAGATGCCTTCATCCTTACCCTCCTCACGGCACCAGAGTGCCACAGGTGCCCATGTGCTGCTTATGATAGAAGTCATGCATGTGAACTCGGGATGCAACACACGGGACCTCTCTCTCCGTGAGTGCTGCCTTCCTCCAGCAAGATGCCATAGAAAGAAAAGACCCAGGCGGGCCACAGGTGCATATGCTGGGGAGCCTTCGTAGTTTGATGAGACAAGCTAGGAGAATAAGGGGTTACCCAGGAACACTTAGCTCCAGTATTTAAGGGTTGGGGGAACATTCAGGTAAAGGATCCCAGAAAGTGTGATCCAGAGACCTCAAGGTTCTAAGAGCTAAGTGGGTTCCTTGTAATTACAAGTGTGCTTAACGCAGCGATGGAGCCATGGGCCACGCCACAGGGATTCTACTTATGGGTTTATTTTAAGATAGATCCAGTCATGAGCTTCCACTTACTTAGTCCCAGCTGGGCTAGTTCTTCAAGCTGAGACTCCGTCTTGGCTGTTGAAATGGCATAAGGCAACTTCAAGGTGAATGGCAGGACATCCCTGACATAAACAAAAAAGAGCGAGAATGTCATTACATGGCTGCTGACTCTTGCATTTATTTGCATTCTACAGATGTCTCATCTTAAATTGTCTAAGACATCGCAAGTTGACACCATACCACAGCCAACCAGAACTTTTCTTCTTTGGCGACTCTCACCTGAATTATCACACTGGGGAGAGGCCAAGACACAAGGCTGCCTGATTGAATCTGTGCTAGGCAGGGATCAGGTTGTCCTGCTGGGCAGCATTAGGTATGTAGCATTCAGTGTCAGAATGTCTGATTATGCTGGCAGATCCAGCATGCCTCCAATGCATGGCATCCCACTTGGCTAGAGGCCTATCCTAATGCTACCTCTCCAGACAGCAATGCTCAATCTTCAATCCCCACCATCTTACAGGCAGCGGGCTCTCAGCAAGTCCCTGCTGGCCACCTTGAATACATATCCCAACTGGAGAGTGACCTCTGTGTGCTGGAGATGAAAGTCTCTACCGTGTTTTGCGGCTGATGTGCTCTAACTTGGGTGTGCACAGGGCTCCCCGGGGAACGGCATTATATTACAAGCTGCATACTTAGATTCAGGAGGTCTGGATGGGGCTCCCAGGCCATGAATGGCACTTGACGCTGGACCGGTCTTTTGAAGGCAAGTTTCAGGTGCCTTATGCCAATAATCATCACCATGTGCTGATGTGCCATATGCAGAGGGGCCCCAGGGAGCAACAAGCCTAATAGGAAGGCGCCAAGCTGACATCAGGGTCCTGCCATGGTCAGGGCATACAGTCTTCAGGAGCAAATGCACAGACCGTGGTGTGTTTCTCAGGAAGGGTAGAGGCAGACGGAATAAACAGCAGTTCATTTTCATATGCAAGGCTAAGAAACAAGCTTTAGGAACTCACAAAGTTAGCACAGGGCTCAGTATAAGACCCTGCACAGGAGAAAGTCCTACTCAGTGACAATGGCGACAACAAAAGGCGTTGCTGTTGTTGTTGTTGTTATTGTTAGTGTTATTTAGTGGTTTTGGCCTTAGGAAAAAAATCATTCACTCCTTTACTTCACAAATGTTTATTATCAGCTATGAGAAACAAACATTGTTCTGGGCCAGGAACAAAACATGAGTTGCTGCCAGAATGGAGCACCGTGCCAGTGAACACCAACACAATCTAAACAAGTAAGCTATGTATAGAATTTACCAGAAGGGTCACAAACCATGGGAAAACATTATGTGTGAAGGGGAAACTGCTGTGGATGTAAACATGTTTTTGTTTTGGTCCCAGGTGTGGGATGTGGGACTGATTCAGATGGTCCACAGCAGCAGACTATTTGCTTCGTACAGGCTCTGAGCGAGCTCTTTGCCAGCTGCAGATAGTTTAAATCTGAGGACTCTGGAGAGAGAATGAGTGCCAAATCTCAGAGAGTGTGGGGGCTCTGAGAAAGAACAAGGGTGCTCCTGCTTCCCCCGTTGCTGCTCATCATTGCTATTGTGAGACAAGAAGTTGGAGATCTCCTGAAATAAGGATTGGACTGGCTCCAAGGAACCTGATGACCCTGACCAGCAGGAAGCAGCTAAGGGAACTGTGCCACCTCTCCCACTAACCCTTTCTCTCTTTTACCTGGTCTTGGAGTGCTGGAAGGGATTGGGGTGGAGTAGGAAGAAGAAGATAAAAGAAATGTAAATAAAAGAGTTTTTAAAAACTAATGCCAACAGAAAATAAAGAGTATTTGAAGCCAGGTGTGCAGCACATCTGTAATCTCAGCAATATCTGTGATAGGGAGGCTTAAGCAGGATCAGGCGTTCCAGGCTACCTAGCGAATTCCAGAACACTCTACCTCAAAATAAAGCAAATAAAAACAAAAATATAAGCGGACCCACCCCAAACACACACACATGGTCCAGGGGGCTCAGGAAATGGCTGAGTAGTTACTTGCCCCACAGGCCTGAGGACTAGAGTTTAGAACCTCAGAATCTACGTAAATGCCAGATGGGTAGGTGACCCCTGTAATGCCAGCCTCATAAGGTAGAGGCAAGGGACGCCCAGAGCATGGTGGTTAGTGAGAATGACCATGGGTGAGACACTGCCTCAATGAATAAGGTGGACGTGCCATTGAGGACGATTCCTGGCATGCATGTACACGCCGCCCACGTGTACCCACACACATGCAAAATGCACACATACTATACACAGGAAAGAAGAAAAAGACGTGTCCAGTGAGTAAATCACACAGGGAAGACAGTTCCGAGGAGTGAGAGCAGCAGGTGAAAAGGCCCAGGGTGGGAAGGGTCACTGTGGCAGGCATGGCTAGAAATGGAAGCTTCTGCCTGTATTTTGTCATCAAAAAATGTCTTGAAAGTTTCTGTTGAAGAAAATCTTATACCAAATTATCCTGTTGTTTATGGGTGGATAAGGCAACATTCTGAAATGAGCTAGATCAAATCTGGATGACTGGAGAACCGTGGAACCCCTTAAAGCTGTTGACAGTCAATTACAAAGCTGCACAGTCAATAAAAATAACAATGCACAGGTGTCCTGACACCAGATAGCGTCACCAAAACTCTACCGTGCTCTTATATGGAATCAGGAGGCGACTTCTCCTGAGGGTGTCCAGCCCTTGTCAACTGCTGTTCCCATGAGGCCTTCACACCTGACCTAAGATTGTGAACAGCTTCTTCTGTGTCCTGACAGGAGCAGTGACCCTGAATCTAATCTGAATTGGAGACTAATGGGAACTGGAATTTTGTAATACTGAAGCATATCACAAATACATGTTTTTAAAAGTGCTCTCAGTCCATTCAAATCTACCTTCTTTGTGCAATGCAGAGAAAACATACATGCCACAAAACCAACCTATGTTTACTAGCTCAGCATGCTACCTGGAGTCTAAACATCATCTGACTAGCTTGGGGTTTTCTTAATGACATAGGACAGGAAGTTATACCTGCCAGTCCTTAATAGATGGTTGTAGGTTTTGACTTATTTAGACAATTAGATGTTGTATATGGGCCAGCTCACATCGGAGTACCCAGCATCTTACAACACACACACTTCCTTCTTATCTACACACTATAAAAAAAAAAGGGGCAGAGACATGTAAGAGCACATAGCAAAGTAGAGCCAACATCTTAAATACAGAACTTTATCCCAAGAGTTTCAGTATACATGCAATCTAGATTTACTTTATCTCTGCTCTGTATGTTTTGTTTCTAAAGAAGAAGAGACTATTATTATCCAGCACTACTGCTGTGATGCACTAAGCATTTGAACACCTGTGGGGCCTAGTGACCATGTTGGGAAGAAGCTGTAATGTCCCTCCTTCAATGATATCAGGATCCTTCGACACACTGACTGGTGGAGCCTTTGTTGCACCTCATAGAACCTGTGGAAGCAAAGCAGGGATTGGAACCAGCTGGGTTGAAACTCAGGCATGTGTAGCTGGCAGAGAAGAGTGAGGAAATGTGGGCTTTGGCATCGAGGTAAGACACGGCCATCAGTGTAACCCAGGCTGGCCTGGAACTGTCCTGTGAGTCCCTAGCTTCTTAAGTGCTGAGATTACAGGTGTGTTTTATATCTGCTAGTTCTGTTTCTTGTTCAGATTTGCTTCTTTTCCTTATATGTATGAATGTTTTGCCTGCATGTATGTCTTGCTACATGTATGCCTGGTGCCCTTGGAGGCCAGAAGAGTATGTCAGATTCCTTGGAGCTGGGGTTGCAGCTGTGAGATGAGAATCAAATCCCAGTCCTCTTATCTGCTGAGCAATTTCTACAACACTTATAGGTTTTTATTATAAGCAGGTACCTCACTCCCATGGTTCTAATTCACAGAGCTGCTAATTCACAAGGAGGGCTAGGGATAAGCCCTCCTGTTGTATGTGGTGGCACAAATATATAAGACTATTTGAATTACTATTTGAATATTAATACAAATACAGTTACTATTTGAATATTAAAAGTGGGTCTGAGCCTCGAAGCAGTAGCACAAGCCTTTAATCCCAGCACTCAGGTGGCAGAGGCAGGCATATTTCTGTGAGTTTGACTCCAGCCTGGACTACAAAGTGAGTTCACAAACAGCCAGGGCTGTTACACAGAGGAACTCTGTCTTGAATAGACAAAAACAAAAACAAAGTGGCCCAAGCCCAGCAGCCATTATCGCCAGCACCTGGGGCTTGCTGAACATGAAGGATGTGGTACAACCCAGACTCTTTGAATTTGCTTCTGCCTCTTACTAGTGCTACAAGTGATTCTGGGGCACAACTGAATGTGAAAGGCAGCTGGCTCTCTATACTGGGTTGCCAACATCCAAGCAGCATGGTGCTCTGTGGTGGTGGTGATCAATGGCAGTCACTACTTTTCTGAATGGTCCTTTCCACTAAGCTGATCCAATGCTCTAAGTTGGTCATCCACTAACGGTGGATTCTTTTGTCTGTGTATACTGGACATGTTCTGTGCGGGAAATCCACTGCAGTCTCCGTGATGAATTCTCTACTAACTACAAGGTTGGAGATTTTGGAGCTACTTCAGTAAGACTGGATCCTGTCGACCACTGATGACCAAGAATGCCTGTGAGGAGCAATAGAGGAGAAACAGAAGCAAAAAGAAGGAAAGAGAAATGACTCCCAGGCCCCTTTACTTGCAGAACATTGATGCCGGGATCTTCCTGTAAGTACCTCAAGTGTATGCTGGGGTTAGGTAATTTGCCAAAGGCCTCCATTTACTTTATGACTTTTAATCACTGGCCTGCCCTGCTACTCCAGTGGACACTCTGGTCTGCTCTTGAGTGGAGAGGATAGAGATGGGATCTTCTCTCTGTGGCTGCCAAGCATTTATGGGTGTAAGGTTGTTTCCCCAACAACAGCACAATTACCAGGAGGCAAAGTTGGATTGAGAGCAGCCAGCTAGCATCCCCTCTGGCTGCTGTGTCAGTGCTGGCATCTTCTCTAGCCTGGTTGGCTTTAGATTAGACCAGGTGTGGTCTCTTGGGAGTGGGAGCTGAGGGAAGGAGGGAAGCGCTGGGTGCTGCTAAGGCTATGTCCTGGGAGCTACACTTCTGTCTGTGGGCAAAACATTTCTTTTAAACTTTTTAGAGATGGGGATTGCAATTTGTCATATAATCGGGGTGCTGCTGGCTTTTAGTTATGTGTGTGGCACAGGGAAGCTGGATGATCTCATTGCCTGAGACAGTATGTCACAAAGAACGGAACCATCCCGGACCCCTAAAGTCTTTCCTAAGACCTGAATGGTCAGGATATAATTACATTTAAAAAAATGTACTTTGTTCTAAACTTTGCTCCCAAAGCTTTGTATTTGCATGAAGCAGCACCACTTACTAGCTTGTGTGGCACCCGACATTGCAATAGCGGCACAGCTTCCGCCTGCATTTGGGTTATTATATGTGTGTGTTAAAAGCAAATATATTCACCCAAATTTTAAAATGCCAAAGAAAGAGAAGTGGCATACTATTTAGGTAAGTGATGTCTTTACTCTCTTAATTGAAAAGGATGAAGGATGAAGCACATGGGCTCAGGGATTGTGACCCTACCCTGGCAAGCAGGTGGCATCCCCAGGTAGGCACTGTCCATCCTGGGAGCTGCCCTTGTTTTCTTCCTGCTAGTGAGCAATGCTAGGGTCCCCTCTGGAGATGCCTCCTCTTCCTCAGGCCATTCTGTGCAGCTTTAACTAGAGCTTAGTTGCCATGTCAGGCAGAGAAAGTCAACAGGTATGATTAATGCTAAACACTCTAATCCGTACGTTAAAACAGACTGGGCCAAACCAAAGTGACTCCCCAGGCTTGCTGAGACAATTGTGAGTTGTGATCTCTGAAAAGATATTTCCTTGTAGCCACTGCAGTGAGCAAACAGAAAAGCAAAGAAAGGCAGGCTGGGCTCTGCCTGGTTAAAACTGGCAAGGCTGGGGCTGAAGAGCTGACGCAACCATCCAGAGCACTTAGTGCTTCTGCAGAGGACCTGGATTCTATTCCTAGAGCCCACATGGTGGCTTGCACACTGTCCATGACCCTAATTCCAGGGGGTCTGCCCTCTGCTGACCTCTGTGGGCACCAGGGCGAGTGTAGTGCACAGACATGCTTTCAGGCAAGCACTGATGTACGTAAAATAAAATAAAAAATCGAGAGAGGGCGAGAGAGAGAGATAGGAGGGAGGAAGGAAGACCAACCTCTGCAGGCAGCAAGAGTTTCTTTGCTTAATCACTACAAGAAGGCTGGCTTCCTGTGGCTGGTTTTTGTTTTGTTCTTTGGCACTGCTAGGGATCAAACCCAGTGCCCCGTGCTTTGTAAGCAAACGCTTTACCACTCAGCTACAACCCCAGGCACTGGAACAATGACTTTGAAAAGTTGTTTTTGTTGTAAAGAAAAGAATAATAATAGAAACCCACAACTCACATCCTTTCCACACTGGTTCACTTTCTGATCTGGCGCTTAATTTCAACCATGAATTCAGCCCTGGAGAAGGTGTGAGCACCTGGCTGGCCTGGAGTAGAACTATGGAGGATTTATGGCTTAAAGAATCCACATTTGAAAATGGACTCTGTCCCCTGGAGTTTTCAAAAACACTATCAGGGACCTTGGAAAGTTACAGGTTTATGTACCAGTTTCTTCTGCTTGCCTGCCTGTCTGTCTTTCTCCCCAACCCCTGTCTTCTTATGCATGCATGTGTTGATACAGGTGGGTATATTGGTATGTGTGTATGTGTTTATGTATGCTTCATGCTCAGTGGGTCTAGCTATCAGGATCCATGGGAACAGCTTGAAGAAACAACCGTATTGACGAGAATATGCATCTGGAGGCCGGGCGGTTGCTTCCACCCTAAGCCTAACTCTGGAATGGGGCGGACATCTGATTTAAGTGGCAAACCCTTCCCTCCCATCTCATAGGCGACCAGCCTTCTCCAGACTAAAGTCCAGATCGTATCACACACCAAGCAGGTCCTTCAAGTCATGAGATGTGCAGAATCCTTACCTGCTGATGCAGTAGAAAGCAATGAGCCGGAATAAATCTGCAAAGCTGATTCCTGAGCCTTCCAGGGAAAATGCTAGGGAAAAAAAAAAAAAAAAGATTCCAGTAGGTGGCTGAGCCTTCCTGTGTGTCTGGGAAGGAAGGGCATTCAAGGCAGCATATGTAGGCCCATCTCCACCTTCTCAGACTACTGTACAGCTTATCCAAACCAGCTGTGAGGGGGTTGTCTGACAGGCAGCTTTAAACAGCCAGGAGGCTGAGGGCGGCCTCCCTGACTCACACTCAGCACATGCTCCACACTCGGTAAACACTCACTTGCACAACAACCTTTCTGTTTGTTTTGAAGTCCTGAGCCTGGAGTTGGGCAGGAGCAAGGGTTCATCTGGCTGCCGTGAGGAGACACCAACACTTGGCAGTAGTCCCGCCACCCCAGACCCTTTAGATCGCAGACCTTCAGTGCTGCACTTCCTTTGACATGAGCCTGGAGGTCAGTTTAAGGGCTCTAGACATTAGTTCTGGGTTACATTCTACGTAAAGAGTCGAAAGTCCTGTTCTCTCGCTTGGCCGCGTTATACAAGCTCCCAGATAAAAAAGCTGCACTCTGACAAGAAGCTGTTGCCACATGTCCACATGTGTGGCCCCGGACGATGGGGATAGGCAGTGGCTTGGTGTCTAGGCCTCATGCGCTGGCCAACCACCTTCATCTCACCTGTAAAATGGATAATAACAGGTCCTTGCCAACCAGAGGGATGATGTAGAATAAAGTTTGTTTTTAATGAAATATCTTATCTGAAAGAACGATACGCTAATGTGTGGTGGTGTCTATTACATCATCCAGAAACACTGCTAAGATGTTCTTTAGTGTAGTAAGCCCTTCTCCCACCCCATTGTACAGGAGGCAGCCTTGCTGGGTAGATATTGTTATGGGGGACTCGGGCCTACAGTCAGTCATTATGGATAGGATAATGCTTTGTACAGACTAGCTCTTCAGTCACTTTGAAGTCCCTTGGAGGAGTATCAGGAGGAATGACTTAAGTCTTAGAATCAGATGGAGGAAAATAAAAACTTCTGGCTTGAGGGAACTCAATAAATGGGGCTGGGGGTGGGGCACAAGGTTCACTGACAGTCAATGTGCTTCATAAGAAAGGAAGTGATTTCCTTGTCATGGTAAACTCTGAAAACTGAGAGGGATTTAAAAGCCAGGAGAAGTTGTTGCTGGCTGGGCTAGCAGCTTTTCAAAAGCCAACTCAGAATAACGGAATCAATTCAACATAAATCCATTATTTATTAACTTACGACACATTCACTGTCTTTAAAATGGCAGTGGGTCTAAAATGTGACATCAAATTATCTCCAGGTTTGGCCTGCTCAGTTGGACCTGTTTCCCAGGCACCCTTGACCACGTAAGTTCCCAGTTTACAATTGAACCGGAAGCAGATCATGTATGCAGGCAGGAGTTTCCTGTGCCAGAAATGTCACTTTCACAGATTCTATGTAAAGTCACTGGCTTAGGGAGACTGAGGGTGAGGGCATCTCCTGCCTGCCCTTCAGTTAACCTAGATACCTTCGAACTCAGGGACTAAAGTCATGCTTCCTAACTGCAGGCCTCCTAACTCGATTCTCCTGGCCTCCACCCCTCTGCTTGCTAACCTAGAATTTTCAGATCTCCCCACTTTGTTGTGCAGACCCATTTCCTGATCTTTTCTTGGAGACTGGCAGTACCTCAGAACTGTGTGTTCCCTCTTTTATTTAAAACTTGGCCTCCCGACACTCCACATTTTCAATGACCAGAAAGACAACAGAAAGGAAATGAACAGTGCTGAGAATCAACTCCCTGCAAATCTCTAGCTAGTCATCTGCCCACAGGGCTGGATTCACCTTGGATTAACTGCTTTTCGTGGAAGACTGAACAGTGACTTCCTGGAGGGAACTCGTGTGCTTGAGGCTTATTTATTCACGAGGATGTGTGGACACATGTTTTGGCATTAGTCTTGTAAGAGGGCTCTGTTGCTGCAGCTTCCCTGTGGTTTCGTCATCAGCAAACCTGGGCACCAAATCTACACTGTACCCAACTGGGGACTGGGCAAGAAAGGCAATTTACACTCAGCCACTAGCATGTGCCAAACTCCAGGGCGAACACCGTGCACAGCTTGTTTAACTGGCCTATAAAGTGCTCAGAGGTTACCATCACCACACTGGAGGGATGAGAATGCCAGCGAACGCCAGGACCAGACATGTTTGTTTGTATCCAGTTCCAAGCTCCTTCCCATCAGCCCTGCCCCCACTATCCCATAAACACTCACTGTACGTGCTTTCCTTTATAGCAAACTCTTTGAGAGGTGCTCCAAATTCACAGGGCAGGCGAAGGGAGAGGACTTTCTTCTGCATTTTGGAGGATTTACGAACCAAAAAGATCTAGGAGAAGGAAGAAAAGCCCAAGTTAAGGAGACTGAAACCTGAGTACATTATTTTCCTTCCACATGATTCCCTGTGAACAGATCACCCTTCCAGGAGGACTGTACAGCTCGGTGCAGGACACTCTACAGAGAGAGAGCTCGGAGCTTATTGGGGACCCCTTTCTTTCAAAAGCGGATTAGAAAGCCCTACTTTCTTTATCCATCCCTCATCTGCAGAGGCACTGGCTGCTGGTGACTGCTCCACCGTGATAGGTATAATGCCTTAGCTCCTGTCTCAAACAGGTGTCTTGGTGGGTGAAACAAATTCTAAACCAGATTCATGCATTCAGACTATACATGGTACACTGGGAGTTGACTAGCTAATTTGGCACATGGCATATTTAAGAGAGAAACTTGAATTTGTTAAGAATGACAAAGCAGTTGTTTTACAGTTTTAATTTTTGCTTTTGAATATGAATGTCTAGCTTCTTTTAAAAAATGAAGTCAGACACATGGCAAAAACCCTTAGAAGAAAAAGAATGGCTCTGCATTTGGGAGGAGGGTGGGTGTGCTCTGAGGTTCACTCCAGCCAACACAGTCCCAACATAGTTTTTACCTACATGTTTTAGACCAAAGCAGTTTCCAGCAGTGATGTCAAGACCACTAGGCCTCTCCCAGTGCAGACGAAGCCTGCCATGTGCTGCTGCGTAGGGCACAGCTCCAGGAGGCATCATCCTCACAGTATATAACTCAAATGAAGTGTGCAGTGTGGTGGCCTTGGCTAAGTCCTGGTCCCCTTCTATAGTGACTGGCCGTCCTTTAAGGACCCTACACTGTCTTGTTCTTTGTCTCTTTCCTGTGGATTCAAACACCTTACAATCTCTGTCTCATTACAATCTCTGTCTCACTATCTTGCTACAACATTTCACGGCCCCCACCCAGCTGATCTTTGCTTTTCCCTTTGCGCTTACAGTACCTCTGACGCTTATGGGGAAGGAGTGGGCAGAAAACCTTTTAAGCTTTCTTTTTTTTTTCCTGGTATCCACAGGGCATCCACAGGACTCATCAGGTTCATATATCTGAGAACTCAGGCTCTGGAACAGATTAAAACTGAGGCAGATGCTCCCCAGAAAGCATCCTGGGTGAGTTGAGATAAGGGGCCCACACTCTGAGAGGCAGCTATTGGCAGACAGGGATGAAGCACAGCCTCCCTTCTACAGAGTGAGCTCCAGGACAGCCAAGGCTACACAGAGAAATCCTATCTCAAAAAACAAAACAAACAAACAAACAAAAAGAGTGGGGACCTCCCTGGGGACCAATTAGGGATCAGGAGTGCTCCTTCAGGCTTTGCTCCCTAAAACACTGCAGCCTTATACAGCTGACAAAGTCCGGCCTGCAGACCACATCCATCCTGAGCCTGTTTGTGTAAGTAAATCTGTATTGCAGCAGAGCTGCACATTCCTTTATGTATTGTCTCTGACTGCTTTTGCCTGACAAAAAGCCTGTGCTGAGTAGGTGTGACAAAGACTGTATGACCAGAAAGACCAACAATATCCACACTCTGGCTCCTTACAGAGAAGTCCGCAGACCTGTCTCTTGCTTAATTAAGGGTGTAGTACCATCCTTAATACATTCATGCCACCAGGGCCAGGCTTCTGCTTTTCCTTCATCCTCATTCTCGCTTCTGATCCTGACAGGACATGGTGCCTGTCCTCAGCCTGCCCCATCTTGTCAGGAAGGCTGTCAAGAGCTCAGGTAGGTGGCTAGAGAGAACATTCTGCTAGCTTATTCCTCATGCAAGTCTCAGCAGGAATGGCTATGCCCTACCCCGGGAGGGGGGCAGGGCGGGGTGGAGACCTACTGTCTTAATGGCCTATTTCAGAATTAAATGCCCAAGCACATAATTCAACCAGTTCAAATTGGAGTCTCACAGGAAGAAGTTTCTGACCATATAGAACAAACCTAGAGGCGGCAGCCCAGTATTCTGGCCAAGGATTCTCTCCAAAGATGATCAAACATTGCACCTCATAGCACTGAGTACGTTTTAATGGAATTCTTAGTCGTGTGTGTGTGTGTGTGTGTGTGTGTGTGTGTGTGTGTGTGTGTGTG